CTCAACTCTTAGCTCCTAAATTTTATATGCAGGCCAGGCCTTATAGGACAATTGTCATAAGCCCAAAAGAGCTTGAATTTGTCTTAGGAGCGAATTCTATTTCTATTTTCTTCCTAATATTTTATGTCAGCCAGAAATTATTTTATAGGGTAATTATTTCAGACCAAAGATTTTCAGTTCCTCTTTGTGCTGAATGCACGGTGTGGTTTTGGTTTGATCTTTTCAGACACATGAATAACTATCCCATTTCATGCTGTCACTGCAATTATTTATCTGGACCGGGGCTTTCCAAATAAAAGGCTCATTATTTCTTTTGTCAGAGATGCATTGAAAAACAACTGTTCACATGTGGCACGGGAGGGAAACACAGTCTTCCGACCTCTCCATTACTTAATGGCAGAATACACACTTTAAAAAAAATGAAAGTAAGCTTTGTAGTACAGAACCTGAGGCAAGCTGTCCGGTGCAGTCAGATATTACTGACACACACAAAAGTTTAAGCGAATGGTTTTGACCTGACTTTTAGTTCAGTATCTTAGTTGCATGTCATTCAACTCTTCTCAGCAACAGCATCACCAGCCCAGTTATGAGACTCTGAAATTAAAAACAACAACAAAAAAACCCCAAGAACCTTCACATCCTTCCGTACAATAACCTTCAACTCTTATCTGTGTTTCTGGCTTCAAATTCTCCAGCTCAGCTGTTTTTTAAAAGTGTACTGATGGCACGTACTTCTAAACAACAAATTAATGCTACGTCTGGACCCATGCCATCCGCAGAGTCAAGATCTGTAACTGTGAAGTAAAATGGATCAAAAGCCTTGAATTAAGTCCTTGTTTAATGCAGGGGTAATCTCTGCTGTTAAACCCAATGAAAAATGTCCTTAGCCAGAAGACGCAGGGGGTGTCTACACTGTGTTTAAAGACCCTGACACAATTAATGTCCTCAGCTCTGGTCTCCAGACTCTCTGGGTCAGACAAAGGCCAATACAGTCACGTACTCTGGTCATTATGCAGGACTGCGAGAGGACATGCCACCTCCTAATCATGTGAGGACTCTACTGTGCCAGTGGTTTAAACCAACCTCCGTAACTTTACTTTGGGATAGGCTGGAGGAGAGGTGTTCACACATCTGGGGGACAGAGAAGACTACTGCCTGAGACTGAAGCAGAGTCTACTACCTCCCAGCCAATGTGTTTGAGTTGTCTTGTGGCCTGACACCGACCTTGACAGCAACTGATAAGCAAAAGTCCAGGGTTCAGGCTGTGTTTGCAGCATAATCCTGGGACCCTTAACAAAAGGGTCCTGAAGAAGCTTTTCTTACTGTGTTTTCTTCCTTTAAGAGTGGCAGTTGCTGTCCCCAAACAGTGGGATGGGAAAAGGATGATAGTTTGATTATGCAGTTCCTTAAACTTTTCTGCTAGCACACAAAACTTAGTAAAGAGCTTAGGAAGAAAAAGCCTCCACCCCAGGATATATGACATGCAGGTCTGATGTGCAGTGTGTATCCAAGAGTAGAGAGCAGTGAGAGTAATGAAACCTGCACAAGACAGACAGGCTGGAGAGCAGTTCCTGGCTCAGGGCATGGGCCTCGGCCCCAGAAACTCAGCATCCCACTGTGCCATGCGCTCCTTCAACAGCAGCCCACGGAGCATTGCTGCAGGTTTGCACAGAGCTGGTTTCTAACATGGTCTTTTTGAACTGCTACTTCCATTAAAAGAAGCAATTTCAGTTTCCTGCTTTTCCCTTTGTCCTCAACCACTCTCGTTCCCTGAGGAGGCTGGCAGAATCAGTAGTGGGTTGGGCCGTGGTCTACATGAAAAGGGTTATGTATGGGGGGAAGAAAAAGCAAAAATACAGCCGTGCTACCAACAACCCCCTCCAGCGCTTCCTAACCTCTGTTGTTGCACAAGGCAGGATATCCACCACAGGCAAATGTCTTCCAAACTGGTACAAAAACCTTCCTGGTCTCAGAGCCACATGAATTAGCACACACTGACACCGCCTGCTCTGTAATATAATGCCCTGGGGGAAAGCAATATGTACTGCATACCGAAGGTGCTTTTAATAAGAATGGTTATTAGAGAGAGCGGGGGACACAGACGTTTGCCACTCAGAACAGCACTGAAATAGATGGTGCAGAAAGTAGAACAGGGCAAGCTCTGATGGAGGGGCTTGGTGACACTCTGCACACTGAGGTTTTCAATTCCAGCTCCCGCTCTCACCTTCAACTACCAAATTATGTTCAGCTTCCACCAGAAGCAGCTGCAGTATTTTGTGGCTTTCAGGGCAGTGTTTTTCACAAAACAGGAATTCAAAATAAGGAAGTAAGTTCATTCTGATGCCAGTTTTTAAAATCTTTTAATCACATTTTCTGAAGCTGTTTGCATTGATAGTGGCTCTTCTCCCCTCCAGCAAACTGTAGAAGGAGATGGGGTGTGGACCAGGAGGGAAGAGATGTAGCAATAGGAAGAAACAATATTTAGCAGCTCTTCCCATCCCTTCCTACTCTTTTTTACTGACTTTGTTTCAGTAGAAATATTCCAGACAGCTCGACTTCATAGTAACATTTGTCACCTTTCTTCCAGATGGGAAGGAAAGCTCTAACTTCACTGCTGGCACAAGCCTTATTTTCTGACTACGTCTAGTGGTCCAGGCGAAGGGTTGCTGCACAGATGGAGGAACCAAAACTTGCATCTCTTGCTTCCCCAACTGCTGCACCGTAATTCGTGGGTGGAGGAAAATCCTTTCCAGCACTTCGCCAAGAAGCCGGTACCTGAATTTCCCACTTTCTTTAAGCCTCCAACAACTGTGCTCCAGCGGTAGGTTTGAGGACAACCTCTTGGCCCTGGTTTGCCAGGGAGCAGCCCACACCAGGTACATGCCAAGGGAGAGGGAGCAATGGAGCAGCTATAAGGGATTTAGCTGCACACATTAAAGGCTAACAATAGGCCACAGTCTGCCCCACAGATGCCCTTTACTTAACTCTTCCCTTACCATGCTTATGCCTAAAATATACAAAATTTCCTTTTGCTGTAAAAATGCTTCAGTATTGGGGCCAGCTTGGCATTTTGCTAGTATAAAACAAGCTTTCCTTAAACTCTGTCTGTTTATAAATAAGGGTTTGGCACATGCAAATGATGGCAAGAAAAAAAACTGGCCATATTCCAAAGTGCAGTACGGGCCTCCATTGGTTGTTATAATGCATCCTACCCAGCCCAACCGGTGCCTGCTCTCTGCCAAAGCCCTTCTGCCTGCTTAGCCACTGGCTAGAAGTATTCCCTTTGCTACAGAAAGGAAGACAGGAACTGTTCTTGAGAGTGTGCCACTCCAGACAAAATATTAAAAATCAGTTCAGATAAAATAAAACATGGACTCCTTAAAAACAAGGAGAGAAAATAAATGGGAAGGTTCCTCTGCAAGTCTCAGATGTCTGGAGACCATGGAGATGCTCAGTTATCTTGGTCAGCAGAGAAGACAGAGGACATGGCACTCTGATACTGAAGCCGTTGACCTCCCAAGAAAACTACTAACCCTTTAGATAACATTGGCATGAACTTCACAAGTGCCGAGCCCTGGGTTTCCCCATATGCCAGGTAATTGTTTTTTTTCCTTATGTTGCCCATTAAGAAGAGCTGAGTGGGAAGGAGTTCTTGCAGCACAGGGTATCAGCTCTTCTGACATCATCTACAAGCGGATCCTTTTCTGTATCAAGAATTTTTCCTGCAAAGGTCTCAAGAACAGCTGGAAACAAGTAGCTGTGTTAATCCTAGTGAGACCTCCCTGCAAATGTCATAGCAGAGCAGTCTAAACCATCTTGATTTAGTGGCAGCTTTCCAAGAGCTAAAATGTACTTTTCTCCTATGATATTTATTGACTGATAAATATCAGTCTGGTCCTGCCCTCATTTAAGTTACTGGAAGTCCTCCCATCCAGCTCAGTAAAATACAGCCAAGCCCCAGGACTCAACAGACCACTTGGGACAGGCACTGGTGTTCCAGTAGCTGTGGGACTCTGCCGACAGCACCTCCGGGACTCGCCCCACCTCGGGAAGGGAGACACTGCTCAGTGCACAATTCCTTCGCAATACAGATACCTAATTCTAAACGCACAGATTAACTGTAATACTTGATTGTAGAGTAGCTCGATGAGTGAGGAAGACTTTGTTATAGTCCAGTATTACAAATGCTTCAAACCTCGTGTCACTTGGTGACATTATTAAATAGCAGCCAGGATAGGAGGAAAAGCTACACAATTCCCCCTTAGAAGTTATTTTGAGAAAAATCAGTCTGCTTGTGTAAAACATGTCAAAAGTTAAGATCTGACAAAGTTAAATATTCTTCAATTTGTTTTCATTTTCCCCAGGCTTTGTTTCTCCTGTTAATGTTCTACAACTGACAGTTCAACAATCAACTGCCACGTTTAAACCTAGAGCCGCAACTGTTGCGGTTGTGCAACACCACATACACGATTGTTTTCAGTGCTGTATTGTTCAAGCCAATCTTTGGCATAACCACTCTCTTCTCAGGTTTCATGTTCTTAAAAAATCTGAGCAAGCCTTCTAACTGCAGTTACTTTAGTGCTATGAATACAATTTACAGAAGAATTTTATTGCAAAATGATCTGTATGACTGCATCTTTTTAGCCACAAAAAAATTGAGTCTTTTTTGCTCTGAAACTGCAGTGCTAAACAAGAAGACCATTTGTAATCAAGCATTTTATCTTGTTTATAACTGAGAAGCAATGAAAAAATGTGCAAAGGGGGGAAAAGAAAGCCCAAAGGACCTTAAGTCTAAGGGTGAGACAAAGGACCGGCTGGACTATGGACTTCAGGGAGTTTCACTCTGTGGCGGCTGCAAACCCGATCATGCAGGACTGGGCAGACACAGGGAAGCAGCAGCTCTAATTCCAGTTTACCCAAGTTTTCTCCCGTCCTTTCCCCCCTTGCACCGGGCAGCAGGAAACACAGCAAGGTGCCAAAGCAATCAACACGGAGCTTACCTGTGCACTTCCTTTTAAAGGTTTCATAGTCTACCCCTTGGTCTCCAGGGACGATTGTAGAGCCATTGTATTTAAAAGTCACCCTTTGGAAGGAGGCAAAGAGAAGGGGAATAATACATTTAAAAGTTGCCCTTTGGGAAGGGGAAAAGGAAAGGGGAGCAATCCATTTAGAAGTCGCCCTTTGGTAAGGGGAAAAGAGAAGGGGAATAATACATGTAAAAGTCACCCTTTGGGATGGAGGAAAGGGAAGGCAAATAATAGATTGAACAGTCAGCCTTTAGGAAGGGAAAGGAGGAGATGGGGAAGAATATGCTATACAAACCCACCCTTTAGGAGGGGGGGACGAGGAGAAGGGGAATAAGGTCTACAGAAGTCACCCTTTCGGGAGGGGGAAGAGAAGAAGGGGAATAACAGAGCACCGGTGCCTGGCCGGGAGATGCCGGGGGGCCACCTACCAGTTCACCTCGGTGCCATCGTCCCTGACGAGGTTGTACGCCTCCCTGCACGCCTCCTTGTCGATTTTGGTGGCCATGGGGGCGGCCGGCCGCGCCGGGGACGGGGAGGGGGGGGGGGGGGGGAGGGTCGGGGAGCGCGGAGCGGCGCGGAGCAGGGGGAGGGGACCACCGCCGCTGCCGCCGCTGCTGCTGCTGCTGCTGCCGCTGCCGCCGCTGCCTCTGCCGCTCCGCACCGCGCAGCGCCGCGCAGCGCCGAGCCCGCCACCGCCCGCGGCCCGCGGCCCGCCTCCGCCCCGGGCTGCCAATGGCTCCGCGCCGTGCGCTGAGCCGGCCCCCGCCCGCCCCGCCCGGCCCCGGCCCCGGCCCCGACCCCAGCGCGGGGGTTTCGGGGTGATGCAATAGCCCGGGGACGGGGGGCCAGGTGGCGGGGGGGGGGGGGGGGGGCGGTAACTGGAGGATGCAAAGCCGTGGTGCAGACCCAGGCAAGGGGGGCGGGGGGGGGCGAGGGGTTCGTCTCGGTGCGGAGGACCCGCCGCAGTGAATCTTTTCAGTTGTTGGTTTTATTTTGGGTTTTTGGTTTTGGTTGTTTTGTTTTGTTATTTTTTTGCCTGCTGATATTTTTCCAGCCCCCCCCCCCCCCCCCCCGATGTTTTTCCAGCCGCTGACGGATGGGAGGAGGAAGGAGGGAGAAGCGATGCGCAAGATGGAGCAGCGGCTGCCCTGCGCGGTGGGGCCGGGAGCAGGGGAGGGAAGCGAGCAGGAGAACTGAGAGTCAGGTAGGAGAGGGGCGGGCGAGGGGCCGGATCCGGCCGCGGGGCTGTGCCGGGCAGGGGCAGGGGCAGGGGCAGGGGCAGGGGAAGGGGAAGGGGCAGGAGCTGGAGCTGGGCAAAGCGCCCTCTCCTGAGGAGAGCTTGGCCGGGGAGCATCGCCCCGTGTGGGAGCTGGGGGCCACTCCCGTCCGCGTCCAGGCCTTTGGGGGAGTCTGTGGGGGGGTGACTTTGAGCCGTGAGAGCTCGCTGCATCTTCAGGTGCGGGAGCGGGTTTTACCCGGTTTGGGATGGAGCGATCTCCCTCTACCGGGCTGCACCGCAGCGCTGCCCACGCGAGACAGAAACCCGAGGCAGTAAGCGCCAGGAGATGCTGGAGTTTAGGTAAAAGGGTGAGGGTCGTCTGTAAGACTGCACTTGAGGCCTATGCCCACAGAAATAGAGACATCTCCTTTGCTTTGCACCTTGCAATTAATGTCATCAGATGTTGTTGTGCCCAGGGACCGGAGTTTTAAAAACCAGTCCTTGTACGTGTTAGTGGGTTTCTACCCTAAACCTTGGGGGGGCTGAATATTGCAAATTTAATAAAAACTACATTCCGTGATAAGAAGTATCACATTTTGTTTCTTTGAAAGTTTGCAGTGGGATATTCATTATTTATTTTACATCAATATGTTTTAAATGTGAAGTCTGACCAGCAAGAAACCTCATGACCACACACACTCAGTCTTTTCAGACAGCTCAAGGAACAAAATCACCAGAGCATGTGCTCTCTATGCAAGGTATATAATTTACTGCCATACAATATGAAGATCCTGCACGCAGCTTCTTCCAGAGAGAGTCCTGAAATATGTGAGGTTCCCCGTAGCATCAGGGCCAAAACACGAGTGAATTGCTGCAGTGCATCTCTGTGATGTAGATGAGGTCATAGGAAAGAGAGAAATATTTCTGAAGTCAGTACAAGGGTAGGACTTGGCATCTGGGTGAATCACAATATCTGTAGACTGCTGGCTCTAGATGATAATATAATCACACAGTAATAGTTCTGAATTTCTATTGATTTTCTTTTGGAACTGTCTTTAGGAACACTTTTTCTTTTTTTAAAAGCTGTAACGCTGACCATTATCTGTTCATAAACATATTTTTTTTTCTCAGAGTCTTCATTTATCATCCTTTGGTACTACCTTGCTGTTGTTTAAACCTGTAACAACTGCTGGTTGTCCTTGTCTCTTCAAGCTTGTTCCTCGGCTCCTGATATTTCCTAGGGCAGAGGTGGGTGACTGAAATGTCATTTCCCTTAAAGGGAGAAAACCTCAACCTTGTGTTGGACTCTGTGACCCAGTGGCTGGAGTGTTTGAATTATATTCATCAGGAACTTCATGCCTCACACTTTTAAGTGCCAGATTCAAACCTCCAGATTCAAACCAGATTCAAAATACATGCCTTCATCGTGGGACCAACCCTTTTCTCTTTGCTTCTCTTCCTTGTCTTTGACATATTTTCATGGATTTTTTTTTTCTTTTAATGCATAGGGGAATAAATATTGTGCTCAGTTTCATCAGGCTGTAATTGGAGAGGACAAAATACCTACTTGTCCAGCTTTGGTGAGCCCTGATTTGCTTTTCATATGTAAGTTTTGAGACCTCTGTCTTCCACACATGGGTCTTTTCTTCCTGTGCAGGAAGATGTCACTAGTCTGGCAGAAGCATCTGTCCATCTCACAGGAGTCCTCAGAAAAGAAGGACAGAGAGCAGAAAAAGTAAAAGGACTTAAGAGAGGACTTATAAACTTCCTCAAAAAAATATCTCTGGCAAACATTAAGTCTTGGATATCTGGACTGACCTTCATCTGTTTTGACTGTACGAATGAAGTTCAAGAAGGGCCTGGGAAAGAGGGGAGCTGCAAGCAGGATGGCTCTGCAGGGCTCTGATCCCACAGGAGGCTTAGCTGTTCTCCTAAAATACATCGTTAGCACCTTGCTTCCGTGGCTCTTTGCCACCACACCTTTTTGCTTTTTTTCCTGATCTTTTCTATGTGGCTGTCCCCAATCCTGTTTCTCTATCTCTGTCTTCTCTGTGCAGGAGCAGAGAAAATAATGGAGAGAATAATGCCCTCTCTCACAAAAAGGCTGCTGTGAATTTGCAGATCACAGCTGGCATTAGGGTTGTCAGCAAAGTAAGCTTTTTACTCACAGTCCAGGAATTGTGGATCTTTATCCTGGGTCCCAATGGTCACAAGGGCTACAGAAGGGGCCAAAGCTAGCAAAAAATGCTTCTCATCTTTGGACTCGATAATCAATTAGATTAGCAGAGACCCATCATCGTCTCTGTTTTCTCTGGGGTGGCTGAAGAAGAGCAGTGCTGTGGAGAAGGACGCGGGGGTACTGGTGGATGAAGAGCTGGACATTAGCCAGCAATGTGCGCTCACAGCCCAGAACCCACCCGTGCCCCGGGCTGCAGCCAGAGCAGGGGGGGCAGCAGGGCCAGGGAGGGGATTCTCCCCCTCTGCTCCGCTCTGGGGAGACCCCCCTGCAGTGCTGGGGCCAGCTCGGGGGCCCCCAACAGCAGAAGGACCCGGAGCTGCTCGAGCGGGGCCAGAGGAGGCCACGGAGATGCTGGGGGGGCTGGAGCAGCTCCCCTGGGGGGCCGGGCTGAGAGAGTTGGGGGGGTTCAGCCTGGAGAAGAGAAGGCTCCGGGGAGACCTTCGAGCGGCCTCCCAGGGCTTAAAGGGGGGACAGGAGAGGTGGGGGGGGACTCTGGATTGGGGATGTGGGGGTAGGATGAGGGGTAATGGTTATAAACTGACAGAGGGGAGATTTAGGTGAGATCTAAGGAAGAAATTCTTTACTGCGTGGGTGGTGAGGCGCCAGCCCAGGGTGCCCAGAGCAGCTGTGGGTGCCCCCTCCCTGGAAGGGTTCAAGGCCAGGTTGGACGGGGCTGGGAGCCCCCTGGGCTGGGGGAAGGGGGCCCTGCCCGGGGCAGGGTGGGTGGGACTGGATGATCTTTAAGGTCCTTTCCAACCCAAACCATTCTATGATTTTATTAAGAACAGACACAGCTGGCCAGATGCTACTGTTCCAGCACTGGAGCAGTTATCTGCAGTGGAGGGCTGGACAATAGCTGGGGTAGGTGGAGGTGCTCACAGCCCAGGCAGCCCTGTTTAAAACGTGGCTGCTCCACGCTGTACACATCATCTTCCGCCAGTGACAACTGCCCTGTCACCACGTAGGACACATATCCAAGCTGGGCTGTCCCCAGTGAGAGCAGATGGAGCTTGGACACATGAACTATCTCACTGGCTTCTGCTGTCCTGATGATAACCTCTGGAAGATACCCAGGAGCACTGGATTAACATAGGGATTTTTCTCTTGTGTTTTAGTGAAGACCATCACACTGAAATGGGACGCTGCAGAGTCTGTGTATAAAGTCTTTGCTTCTTTCTTAATCCCTGAAGGAGGGGTACTGTGGGTTTCATTAATTTTTAAGCCTCCTGGTCCCTAATCGATGAGAAAAAGCCCCACAGCAGCATGCACTGCTGAAGAGGTGCCAGTAGCAGGCGAAGGCATTTTTGAGGTCAGGTAGTTTCACGTCCAGGTAAACGAGAGGAGATGGTGCCCGGGCTTCTCGCTGCACCTTAACGCGCACACACACACACACACACACACACACACTCCTGCTCCCCACAGCTCCCCACGGCTTTACAAAACAACCCCGCCGAGCATCCCGCGCTCGCTGTAACCACCGCCCCCGGGTTTGCAACACCCCCAAATCCCCTCAGCCCGGGCCCGGCCGCCATTTGCTCCCGGCGGGGCCCGCGGGCGGCCCTGCCCCGCGGCGCCTCCCCCCGGCCCCGCCTCGCTCCCTCCCCGCTCCCTCGCCGCCTCAGCCCGCCGGCATTTCCTGGGCCGGCCATGGCCGCGGCGGGCCCTCAGGCTCTGCTGACTCCCCGCTCCCGCTGTGCGGCCCCTTCCGCTTCCCCGCCTCCTGCTATTTGTTCTTGCTTTGCATCCCTGCATCCCACCCCCACCCCCACCCCTTTTTTTTTTTTTTTTTTTTTTTTAATTTCCCTTTTTTCCCGGCTAAATAAACGCTGTGGGAAAGCGCGGCCGATGTAGCTCCCGGAGGACGGGCCGGCTGCCGGCGGAGGATGCGGGAGCTGCGCGGAGCCGCCGCGGGAGCGTAGCCGGGCCCCGGGCGCGGCCCCGCCGCTCGGGCAGCGCCTGCCCCCCCGGAGGGCCGGGGGCCCGGAGCGCGGCCGTGCTGGCACTGACGGGGAAATGATTTTACCCCTGGCAGCGGTAGCGAGGACTAGCAGTAAGTAAAGAACTTATCCTCAATAATAGACGCGCTAGCCTTTGATTGTACCCTAGCATACACCCGGCTTGTTGGCACA